CATAGTAGAAGATCTTCTTCTTCTTCAACAACGTCGTCATATAAGTGTGAACATCAATCTCGTCATGCGTGGGGTACAACAGAACACGAAGAACCTAGTTTCATAATTGCTAGAGTTAGAAAACAATATTCTTCTCCTCCTCATCATAATTTCCATCATTTGGATATTAATGAAGATTTTAATCGTTATTATGCTCCTTGGAGCAATAAAAATGAATTTGAAATCGCTTTAAATAAACTTGATCGATATTATCAGGTGAACGATAAATTTTACTTGTTAATTTTTTTTTTTTTTATTTCAACTTTTTATTAACCAAATATTTATTTTTGACCAAAGAATTTGTTTTATTCAAAGTGTTATGAACCTTTTATTCCCATCGTCTATGAGCCATCACCTATTTCTTATGATCGTTCTAAATTCGCGACATTTAAACGTTTATGAGTACTTTAATATTGTAGATAATAACTAATATATATATATATATTGTATAGTGCTATTATTATATAGCAATTATTTTTATAGGATTTAATAATTACCTTTAATAAACTAATTTCTTCTTTAATATAAGTGTTCATTTACAAGAATATCTTATTACTATGTATTTTGAGAGAATTCACTAATTGCAGTTTTAAAAAGTTAAATTTCTAATTGATTACTATTTACTAAACATATAAAAATTATATATTTTTAGTAATAATATTTTTCTTAGATAATAAACCAATAAAATAACTACCTTAAATTATTTAATATATATTTTTTAATTAAAGTATCATTTGATATATTTGATAAATATTTATATATATTAATATAATTCTATAATATAATATATATATATAAAATATACTTTAAAGAATTTAAGTTTATATTAATAATAATAGAATGAAGTGAAATTGTTAAAACAAAATATAATAGAAATCTTTTATTTCTTTTTAAATTAAATTATCTAAAATTTTTTATACATATATTTTTCTTTTATATTCAATTATTATCTATATTTTATGTTTAAATTATTTTTTTTTTTTATAGAAAGTTATTAAATAATGATCTACTATAAAATTTTTATATAAAAATTAGTAGAAATTAAATAGTAAAAAAGTTAATAATAGTAAAATAGAACTTGTATTAATGATTTAGATCTTTATTATATATATTTACTTAAAATTTTATAGTTTTGCTATTATTTTTACTGTATCTGAAAAAAATTGGTAATTAAGTATACTTTTTATTTGATTCAAATATATAATAATATAAAGAAAATAATATTTAGTATTTCTCTTTTATATATTATTATATTTAATTTATTAAATAAATGAAATGTTTTAAAATAGCTAAAATAATCTTTGAATAATATAATAAACTTAAAACTGATATTATAGAAGATGTAAAATTACAGTTTATTAAAGAAAAACCACTAGTTATATATTTTTTTTTGCAAATATAGATGAGGAATAAAACCTCTTAATCATAGTTTACGAAATTATAATAAAATTATAATAAGAGATATGATAAAATCATTCTAATATAATAAAAGCTAAAACTATTAAAACTATATTAAAAATATATAAAAGGGTATGACAAAATTATTTTGAGAAGATTTTAGTAAGTATCTATAACTGCAAAGAGAATTTTATTAACTAGAGTTGTATTAAGAATGTACAGTTTAATTTTTATTAATAAAAGAATAAAAAAAATATTATTTACTTATTTATTAGAAGATAATAATATTATATATTTATTAGATTCTTTACTAAATATTTTAATATAAGATATCTTTTTTTTTTAGAAAAGTTTAAGTGATAAAAATACAGATTTATTTATTATTCTAAAATACTATTAAATTTATAAAACAAATACAATCAAAACTAATTATAATAAATCTTTTTATAATGAAAATTGAATGTAATAAATTCAATATTAATAATAATTTATTATAAAAAGTAAAATAGTTTATATATATTGTTAATAAAGCAATTAACTAATAAAATAAAAGTCATAAAATTTTGAAAATACTACAAATACTGAGGATACAAAGAATCTATAAAATTCTGCTGATCTTTTAGATACAAAAAATTTCACAGATTAAATGAAGTTTAAGAATATTTAATATAATACTTATTTAAATATTATACTTTTATTATTTTTTTTGTTTTTTATATATTAATTTATTTATATTTTATATATTAAATTAATTAGTTTATCCCTTAAACTGTAGTATAACATTATTTTTAAAACATTTTAGAAAATTTAAAATATTTTGATATCTAATGATTATAAAAGATGAAATAAAATTTTAGATTTATTAAATTATTATACTCTAAAAAGTTACAAATTTTAATTAGATAGATTATCAATTTAAATTTTCTCGATTTTATATGACGCCTAAATCGCAAAAAAATTGTCAAATTCGTTACAAATTCGTGATGAACCAATTTGGACATCCTAATGTTAAGGATAACCTTTTTTTATCACGGGCGTTAATTACTATTACATGCAAAAAAAAATATTTAATAATATATATATATATATATATATTTATTTATAATTTTATTATAAAAATTTTGTAGACTTTTTAATTATATAATTGAATTATTTTCACCGAATTAAAACGCCAACTGGTTTTAGAACAAAAATTTAATTATTTAATAATAACGAATTTCAAAAGATCTACATTATAATTTCTATAATTATGCAACAATGACGATAAGATGCAATATAACGAATATTGATCATTGGTAGCTAAAAAGTAAAATAGTAAAATATATAACTGCAATTACAGAATCATTTGACATAAAAACCACGACAAATCGATTTCTCATATATTAAAAAAAAATAAAAAATATTTTTTTTCCCAATTCAATTCAACCCTATTATCCTTTTTAACCAAAAATCATGTCTAAAGTTGCTAGTTCCTCAAAGCTCCAACAATGAATCAAGATAACGTTCCTGTCACGAAAAAAACTACAAAATTTTGCTTTGTTATCTTGTTTCCTTTTGTATTTCCTTTTTTGTTCCTTCCTATACTTTTTATAATTTGTGCGCTTTTACCCATTTGGTTCCCGTTTGTTGGGTATAATATGTTTACGAATAAATATAATATATACGTATATCAATTATACTAATATCGATCAACGTTTTATTAGACTTTATACTTTATATAAAGTAATTCAAAGAGTTCAAGCTAATCGGCCCGAAACGATTCAAACTCTCTTAAAGTATGAGAAAAGACCTGGTCAAGCGCAAAGGTTTTTTGGTAAGAGAGTTTTCTTTTATGTTCATAAATGGCATTGTGGCAAAACATGTAATATCTTGATGTAATCTATTTATAGCTCGAATTAACAAGGACTTCAGGTGGCCCTCTTCGATGCCAGAATACCTTAGAAAGAGTGCCTTCTATGACATCGCTGAAGATGGGCCTGACTTCGATGCTGAGATTGGGTTTAACATCATATTCTTCTACAACGCACTTGACAGAGGTGAATTTATTGGACATGAAAACGAGTGGGTGACGGTATACAAACAGAAGGTATTAGAATGCGGGCAAAGGTATGATGATGATAAATTGACCTCCGTTCTCGACGCTATGCCAAGTGCTGTCCAAATCCCTGTTGATCAGACACGTTTGCCACGTGGTCCACCGACAAAGATGGTGACAGTTTATCGTACCAATAATGGTAACGATTACAAGGTTTGAATTAGTGCTTGACTTATAATTTTTGGAGAATAATTTTATTTTATTATGAAATTTAGTATACATTCATGTAAACTTCAAGTTAATTTTTTTAAATAAAGGTCAGAGTTCGTGTCAGAAGACCCAATGAAAGTTTAATCGCTCTTCTTCCACATGATTTTATTGACGTACAAGACAACAACAAAATGTATTCGTGCGTGGTCGATACAGGTGCTCCACATACAATATTACCGCATTATGTTAAAAAAACGCTTGGAAGGAAGGGATGGAGTACGCTTAAAGCAACTGCCGTAGGTTATGGAGAGCCTACAGAACAATATTTTGCATCTCAAATGTTTGAGGTGTCAATTGGTGACAACTACAACTGGAGCAAATGGGTACAGGCAAAAATTGGAGTCTGGGATATTTGTCCCGGCGATAAGGTGCAATATGCCCTTGTCGGTAATGATGTTTCGGATCAAATGGCCTATATACATGAGCCGGGTAAACCATTAAAAATTTAAATGCTGAAGATGAAAGTAGACTAACTGGATTTATGATTACCTGTGCTTAAGGTTAAATTATATTTTTAAGATGAATTTCATCCTTACATTGATCAGGAAATAATATTCTGTATATAAGACATAAATGTCATTTTGCAGATTGTATTTCATGTTCGCTTTTTAAATTTGGTCTATTGGCTACGGCTAAATATTCGTAATTATTAATTAATCTTATGTAAAATAAATAAAGAAACAGTGATGTGTTATATTATCCTTTAAAGAAGTATCCTCACGCGCTGAAATTTTTTTTTAATTTTGCGACTATAATACATAACAAAAGTGAAACATTAAGGCGGTTTCCCTGTCATTATCGACAAAGTTCTCCTCTCTCATTCCCCGGAATATACATATCTTCCCAGTGCGAAAAAAATTTTTTTTTCCTCTGCATTAGCGGATGGAATTCCATTCTACTGCCCTTACACGAGACTATTAGCGATTGCATAATGACATTCTTACTTGGATCTCGTATCTAATTCCTTCTCCCCAATTTTTTTTTCTTTAGATATTATGGAAATTAGATATCTTCGATCCAAAATGCAAAAACATGAATCATAAAATTTTACAAAGTTTTTCTTTAATGTATTTTTTGAAATAAATCAAATTCTATTTAAAAATGTCGATTTGAATTTTCACTTAAAAAGCAAATCTTTTTTGATTATAGAAGTTAGTTGTACAATTTTGTGGCATTTACAATATCACGTAAATCTTAATCGCTATATACAGTATATAAATTTTAATATCACACATTTTTCTTTTCTTTTATGCGTTCTCTCTTTTCTTTTCGTTCATTTTACGCATTTTTCTTATATTATTTCTTTGTTTTCTTTATACATTTTTTCTTTATTCTCTTTATACTTAGCATAAATTCTTGATATATATACTTATTTTGTTGTGTTTTTTTATAATTTTACTTAAAACACTTATAACACATTTAATTATTATTTTTTTTTAATATGCAAACTTATGAAGAACAAATAAAATATAATGATGATGGTTCTGTAAATGTGCTATTTGGTCAAACTGCTTGGTATTTAGAAAATGTACAGTGGGGTATCAAAAGTTACCGGGCAACTTAAAAATTAGAAAATTGATAAAAGAAGCAATTTTCAAATTAAACTTTTTATTTTATTAATTAAATCACCTTTGATGCAATAAGTTAAGTTATGCATCTTAATGAAATAAAATTTTTATAAATATCCAATTGGTGATAAATTTTATATTCAATATTTTATATAACATTTTCATGTATTAATACAAGTTTTCAGTTATAAATAAACATAAAATTTTTAAGTAGTAATCTATTTTCATTTATTAATTAAACTTATTCTTCATATTAATAAATATATATTCTCAAAACTTCATATTAATTACATTTATATTTGTGGAGATTGAATTGATAAAGTGTAAAATTTTGGTAAAAATTCTAAAAAGATTAGTATTTCACATGACTTGTGACTGTATTAATTCAATCTTCACATGTATAAATGCAAATAATTAAAACCCATTAAATAAAATATTTTTTTAATACAATAAACAAATTAAATTAATGACATATAGGTTCTTTACAATAAAAAGTTAGGAAACTATCAAAAAAATTTTTTTTGCTTTATAAGTTAAATATTATTTGTTAAATAAAATAAGTCCAGATTTAATATTAACTCAAAAAAATTTTTTTGGTAGTTTCCTTCCTTTCTATTGCAAAAAGCCTATTTAATAAATTACAGCTAAAAAATTCAATGTTTTATTATAACTAAAAGCTTGAATAAATACATAAAAATGTATCAAATATATAATATAAATTTTACTACTGATTGGATATCTATAAAAACTTTAACATATATGTACTTCATTATGAATACATTTTTACTTATTTATAAAAATTGATTTAATTAATAAAATAAATAGTTTAATTTAAAAGAATTTTTTTCGTCAATTTTCTAATTTTAAGTATCTGATGAATTTTGATATCTACTGTATCTATTTTAAAATTTGTTGGTTAAAGAAGCAAAGAAGATAAGTTATACCTACATTAGTTAAAGTTGAAATATTAACTGTTGAATGTGTTTAAGATGCTGCTGATTATTTATAATTGACAATATATCAGAAATAAAGAAATCTACAAACTGCATTGATGATATTTTAGTATTAATTTCAAAAGGAACTAGGTTACTCATAATATTAACTTAAAAATTAATAAAGATTATCAATATTAGTATTAAGTTATATACTATTTAGGGATGAAAACGCTTATATAGTAATATTAAAAGTTATCTTAAATCATGTGAAAATTATAATTTACCTAAAAATTTGAAAAATACAAATAATATATATTTATGTAAAGTTAAAGTTATTTCTGAATGTTATTTATCATAGTTAAATTCAAAAACCTCATTACAAATTAACATTCAAAAAAATCACAATTTAGCATAATATATTACTACTAATATACCAAAAATTTCTCACATTAATCTAACCTATACTATCAAAGACTTAATAATAATTAGTAGAAAGACAGACCATAAAAATACAAAAGAAATTAAAATAAAAACATTAGCTCCACTCAACATAGTGAACTTTTTTTGTGATTGGCTAATTATACATTAATATGATTGTCTAATAATAAATCATGTGACTATTCGTTCTAATAAAAAATTTAAAAAATTTTAATTTTTTAAATCTGAAATCATTAATATTTATTATGTAAAAAGGATTAAATTATCTTTAACAAGTGAAAAATATATTAAAATATTTTTTTATTAAATTATATTAATGTAAAATACATTTAGATATTTATCTAAATTACAATTCATTATTAGTTATTTGATTTAAAAATTAAATCAAATTATACAATAAAGTTAAAATATGAAAGAATAGTTATACATTATCTATTATTTATTAGAAATAATCTAATTTTCTCTTTTACTTTATAAATAAATAAAATAAATCTTAAAAATATATACAAATATATAATTCAAATCTCAATTTCTTTTTCTTTCTCTCTATATATATATACATATAAAATAATATATTGCAAAAAACTCTAATTAGCTAAGTTCTGAATTACCTTGCTTTTTACTAAATTACTTTAATAGTTTATAAAATAGAAGTATACTTTAGTTACTTTTTTATTATAATCCTTACGAATTTATCCTTATAGTTGCAAATCTATTTAAATGAATTTAATATGTAACAATCATTTTAAAAATTAACCAATCAGACTTAAGTCTGCTATACTATTTTACTCAATAGTATTTCAGAAGATATAATTTCTCAATCTTTAATAAATCAGCATTTAATTTAAAATAATAGCAACTTTAGCAATTTATTAAAAGAGATAATAAAAAAATTTAAAGACATTTAAGTTTATAGATATTATTTAATAAGGGCAATGATATTTAATATATAATATTTTAAGAAATGAAAGGTAATTAAAAGATCTTAGTATATATAGTATAATATAAGATTATTATAAAGTAGGGAATAGAAATATGAGCTTATAGCAAATAAATATTACATAATAAATATTACTGCCTTAAATTAATTAATAATAAATTAAAATCTTATAATTATATATTATATTATCAAATTGTAGATTTAAATCAACCTATTGATTCACCTGTTTAATATTATTATTTAACATTTTAGATAAATTTTGGCTAAAAATAGTCATAATTATAAATATATATATATATTGGTATTGATAGAAAATATGATTTAAATATAGATTGTATTCTAGTATTATCAATGATTATTGAAAATAGAACTGGTTATACATTATTTCTTATATTTTATAATTATATTTTGATTATAAAATAGCAATAATTTTAATTCATAAGCTAATTTATTTATTTAAAATTTTTTTAACTAATTTAAAAAAATATAAATTTTTTAATAGATTAAATATTTATAAAAAGAAAATAAATATTTAACTATATACTAATTATTTTAAGAAAATATAAGATAGTAAAAATGTTTTAAGTAAATTTTTATTATAAATATTAATATTTCTTTAAATGTATTTTTTAGAATAATAGTAAAAATTAGAAAAAATTATGTATTTAATAAGAATACATAGTGAAGTATTAAAAGTCACTGGATACTTAAAAATTAGAAAATTAATAGAAATTTTGACTTCAAATTAAACTTTTTTTTATTAATTTAATTAATTTTAGTTAAATAAGTAAAGTTGTTTATTATAATATTTTAAAGTTTTATAAATGTTTAATTAGAAATAAAAATATTTATTATATATTTAATATAGCATTTTTGAATTTTAATACAAGATTTCAGTTATAATAAAATATTGAAATTATTAGCTGCAATATATTTTTTTGTTCTTAGTAAACTTATTAAATATATTAAAAAATATATATTTTTTCAAAATTTTAGATTAATTGCATTTATATTTGTTAAGATCATCTTGGTATAGTGAGTTACTAATTATATGTGATATTAATCATTTTTTTAATTTTGAATCAAAATTTATTGCAGTTGATATTAAAAATAAAGGCAAATCTTCAAAATATTAACAATAAAATTATAAAATATATATTTAAATAATTAATATAAAAAAATTTTATTTAAATAATATGATAGTTCATAAATTATCTCAATTTAAAAATTCAATATAATTTTTTAAAAAATGATCAATATCGCAAATGTTTGATGACTTTTGATACCCTATTATATATTTAATGAGAAAAATTTTATTATAATCTCTATATATTTAGGATTGAATAAAAATATATATTTAATAAAAATTATATAGTAAATATTTAAAGAGATTTGAATTTTAGTAATTAAAATTACTAGACAAAGCTTATAAATTTTGCAAGTTATTTAAATAATAAAGGTAAAATTTAATAAAGTTATATTAAAATTTTATTAAAAAATCTATAAAACTTAAAAAAAGGTAAAATTATATAAGACTTATAAAAATAGCAAAATTTTAATTAAAAAAT